AGGGTGATGCGAACAGAGAAGGAATACCTGACCCAGACTAAGTTGGAGAGGATTGGGAAGGAATCAGAGAAGGCTTCTTGGAAGAAGTGATATGTAAGTAGACTCTTAAAGGGTAAACATTAGTTTACAAGTTGACAAAGAAGAGCTTTGCCGACAGGGGGAATTTCCCTGAGCAGGCCATGGAAATAAGATGCAGAATTTCACATTTGTGAGTCTGAAAGTAGGTCAGCATTGTCAGGGAACTAAGTGTAAGGCAGAGAGGGGCAAGAGATAAATGTGGCAAATCATCCTAGAGATGATGAAAAGTCACTGAATAATTTTTTGAAGGCCAGGAAGACACTTGGTCATGTATGCATTTCAGATAAATTCCTTCATCCATTCAAAATTTTATTAAGCACCTACAATGAGACAGGTGCTGGAGTAAAAGGGAAAAAAAAGGCCCTGCCCTTTTGGAAATTATATAAGACAGATCACAATGAAGGTTAAACAGAGGGTAGATTTGAGCAGGATAAGCCTGGAATCAGAAGAGTACTCAAGAACCTGCTAGAGCAGTTCAATAAGAGATCACAAGAACAGGACACTGGTAGCAGAGACTTGAAAAATATGTAAAAAGTGATTGGATATGGAAATGTAAGAAAAGCAAAAATGAAAAAGGTAAGCAGGTAAAGATAAGCTTAGTTTGATTTGAATGCACTTGAAGGAATCCAGATGGATTGAACATAAAAACCTAAAACTGGAAAAAAAAGGAAAAAAAGTCTGAAGCTAGAGCATACCAATTTGGAGATGAAGATGGATTCAAGTATGTAGGCTGGGAAGAACTGTAGCTTAAGCACAGAACCTTAAGGAACACCAACCCATAAGGGAAAGATGGAAAGAAAACCCAAAAGAATCAGGGAAAAAACAATTTGAGAAATACATAAAGGATCAGAGGAGAAAAGTGAAGTAGGAACCAATGAAGCAAGAGTGCCAGAAGAAGGTCAATGGTATCAAACACAGTAGAGAGATCCATTAAAAGGAAAACTGAAAGTGTCCGCTGGATTTGGCAATCATAAAGCAATGGGTGCCTTCATTCTGAAAACACCCTGGCAGGTGATTGGAGCCAAGGACATTTTAAAGTATATTGAAGAGTCTAATAGCTTTTCAATTCTGGATGAAAAGAGAGAAAAAAGAACATACGGTAGCCAAAGAGGGGTCCAAGATGAAGGGAAGCTTGTTTTTCCTTGCTTTGTTTCATTTTGTTAAGGATAGGAAAGACTTAAACATATTTACACTTTGAGGGGAATGAACAAATAGAAAAGAGAGAATGACCCCAACCATGTTATTACTGTATATTATAAAATCACTCCCCTTTAGTGGTGAGGTTTATTGTCTACTTGTTTGTTCATTTAATAAATGTTTACTGCATGTCTACTATAGGCATGGCACTGAGCTTCGCACTCATTCTGACTTTACGTGTTAATTAAGTAAGCTTATAAAGACATGCATGAGTGAATTTAGTCTTCCAATACAAGAGACACATAAGTAATTCAAAGTGAGCCTAGGTAGGTGCACACCACAACATAGAAGATATCACTGTGATCTTCTAAATGACAGCTTTGCAGATACAGTAAGGTTGCATTTTTATTTATGTATTTCAGGTATTGGCTGTTGTGGCATACTTTGCGAATTTTCTTCTTTCAAGTTCAGTTCATTTTAGAGGTCAAAGCTATAAGATGCCAAGGTTTTTAGATTACAAACTGGGATTATGATTTATTTCAGTGAAGACTTCGTGCAATGGAACACCAAGTTCCCTGCTGCTAAACAAAAAACATCCATGAATTAAGTTATTAACTTGTTATTTTTGCTTAAGGAGCCTGAAGGAAATATGTGAATTTCAGGTATCTAATTGAAATCTTTTTGTAGCCTCTCAGGGAATAAAATTTGTACACTATTGAAAAACTTTGATTCTCCTTAAAATTGCTCGTGTGACTTATTCTAACAGAGACACTTTTGATGGAGAGATGGTTTTCATTCATCGTACTACATAGGCAAATTAAAGAAAACAGAACTAATGCTTAAATCAATGATAGCAGCATTTAGCTATAGGCTACCATACAAAGTAATATGGTAAATAAACTGTCTTTGTAAGTGAAAATTTTTAGAGTCCCATTATGTATTGGAAAAACAGGAGAGCTCCTATTAAAATATCACACAAGTTTCTTCTATGACCTTTTCGACCAGTTTTCAGGGGGAGAGGGTGGGTATCACAATTTTTCATTCTCCTAAGAAGAACTCTCTTTGTTCTATAGAGCAGTTTAAAATTTCCAAAGTTCATCAAAATAGAGTAATTAAGGCAAGATAATTCAAAACACATAATTCTATACACAATTATGCATGCATATATAGAAACAGTGGTAAAATTAGGGAAAAAATCTGAACAAAATATTTTAAATGTTTGAAGTGATGGATATGCTAATTACCCTAATTTGATCATACACATATATAGTACCAAAATATCACACTATACCCCATAAATATATATAATTATTTGTCAATTTAAAAATAAAAGCAAAAAAAATTATGTAAAACGTTGAGTTGGTCCAATTCATAGCACAAAGTTGATGGATTCTTAATAGGTAAGAGAAAGTTAGAGGAAGAACATCCAGAATACATTTTCAGCTTTTCAGATTGAAATCACAGATAGAAACTATCATTTCTAATCCCAAAATGAACTTTCAAGAAGCCCTTATGGATACATTTGCTAGAAATTGATGATTATGTTCTTTTACTGGCACTGGGTGCTTTAATATGAGATGAATGCTATCAAACCAAGGCAGAGTTGGTACAGTACAGGTTAATTATCCCTTATCCAAAATGCTTGGGATGAAGTGTTTTGTATTTCAGATTTGGGGATATTTGTAGAATATATACCAGTTGAGCACCTCAATCCCAAAATCTGAAATCCAAAATGCTCCAATGAGCATTGCCTTTGAGCATCATGTCAACACTCAAATTTTGGAGCATTTTCAATTTTCCCATTAGGAATGCTCAACCTGCATTGTGACTCTAGATGGTTGTGAAAAGTTACTCTAAAAAATAATAATTAGAAATAAAAATTTCCAACCAAGACATTACTTCAGATATTCAAAAAACAGCAAAAGTTGTTCATCTGTGGCACACATCATTTTGATTCCAACATTTTTAAATATCCACATTTGTGGTAAGGGATTCATATTCCTCTTAAATATATCATCATATATGGGGTCTCAACTTGAATTATACTGCTATTTGATAGATTCCAGAAATCATTCACTTTTTTTTTTTTTTTTGAGACGGAGTTTCGCTCTTGTTACCCAGGCTGGAGTGCAATGGCGCAATCTCGGCTCACTGCCACCTCCGCCTCCTGGGTTCAGGCAATTCTCCTGCCTCAGCCTCCCGAGTAGCTGGGATTACAGGCACGCACCACCGTGCCCAGCTAATTTTTTTTGTATTTTTAGTAGAGACGGGGTTTCACCATGTTGACCAGGATGGAATCATTCACTTTTTTTAACCCATTAACTAAAACCACTTTGTAACAATTTCTGCAACTGTACTAGATTTCTCTTTAATTGTACCAGATTATTCTTTAATTGTACTAAAATAAAACTGTATTCTATACAAGTATTAGGTGCCATGTCTACTGGCTGATCCAATAAGTTATATGGCACAAGTGAAGTCAATAGCATGAAAAAATCTTAAAAAAGAAACTGATTCCTTCTAGAAATAGCCTCACAATTTTAGCTTCTTACAACTCAGAGAAAGTAATCTATAATTCAAAAAGCATATTGAGACGTGGCTGTCCCTACCAGTTTAGTAGGTAATCAATATGGGAGTTTAATAGAAACCTGCACGCATCCTGGGTATACTTTCATGATGTCAGTGAATAAAAGTACTATTAGAAAGTGGCAATTTAAAATTGAAATGTGTGGATTATTTCTGACTGAATGACTAATCCTGTAACAGAATATCTTTTAGTAACAAGACTAGTACTTCATGATTAAATAATCCAAAAAGACCCTAAGGATGTTATTAGAAATCAAAAATAGAGAGGCCTTAACAACTTCTTGTGCCTGATCTCACTTTGTGTTCCAGTAAGAAGGGTGAGAAAGGTCACTACCAGCACTAGCAACAGCCTCTACTGATGCATGTTTATTAAGTGTAAGTAGAAGAGCTGCAAAATGATAGCAAAAGATGACGTTCAAGTTGCACATTTGCAAGAATAAAAGTATGGCATAAATTCCATTTTCATGGTTAGGTGACATTTTCTTGGCCTCCTATGTGGCTAGTAGGAACATGTAACTAAGTAGTCACCAATGGAATGTGAGCAGAAATTAAGGACGCTGAGTCCTAAGCCTTGCAGAAACATGCTGCCCCCGTGCTCTTCTCTCCTGTCCCTCCAGGTATGATCATGACCTGACATGGAACACACAGGTGAGGACAATGTCCTAACATATAATGAACATCCAGAGAGAAGGAACCTTTGTCCCTGATGACCCCCCAGAAAGGAAGCACCTACTCATTTTAAGGGCTCTATACAGACTGTTAAATCAGAGAAATAAACATCTATCTCTTTTTGGCCACTGAATTATTATTGGGATTCTCTGTTATAGCAGCCTGGCCTTACCTTAACTAATTCAAAAGTTTATAGAACCCTACCAATAATTAAAAAAAACATCTGGTTCAGACTAAACAGGGCAAGAAACTGTCCATCCTTTCTATTATGTAGTCATTGGGTAGCACTGCTCTGCAGCATGGCATACATTGTAGAACAAAAATCGTTTCCACATAAAAACACAATTACATTATGTGTTTAAAAAGAAATGTATACTTTCCAGGCAGATTGCCGTGAGAAGCACCAATCAAGCAACTTGAATTTTATATTTTCTCAAATCTTAGAAAACTACAAAAGCATACAGGTACGGTAGCATTTCTTTGAAAGGGTAAATTACAAAATCAAGGCAATGTGATTCCCTGTGGAGTACCTCCTCCATCTGTTTGTCCATTCTTTTTACAGCAGGCTTTGGCTTCGCTTCACAAATGGGAGGCTGGCCCACAGAAGGGATACAAGAAGGAATGCTGGTGCTTACATTCTGCTCCACTTCTCCTGGAAGCAGCAGTGAATCTGTTGGATACAAAACATTTCAGTTGAGCCTTTTGCCAATTTCACAATTTACCTAAATCATCTAACTGCCCAGAAGTCAAAGAAAATGAAGCAAAAATGCTCATGTAAAGTAGGTCCATTTCACAACACCTGTCTTCCTTTGGGAACAGAACTCAAGGGATAGTCTGTCTTCCTTTGGGGACAGGACTCAAGAGATAGTCTGTCTTCCTTTGGGGACAGGACTCAAGGGATTGCCTGTCTTACTTTGGGAACAGGACTCAAGGGACTGCCTGTCTTCCTTTGGGGACAGGACTCAAGGGATTGCCCTTTCCACATAATAGAAGTCATTAGTGCATTTATTTTTATTTTATTTTGAAAACTTAAGAGTCCCCCCGAAATGTCTGGAGGAATGCTGTTTTTGGAGTAATGTGACTGTCCCTTTTACTCTCAACTCAATTTCTACTTTTATAGGAAAATAAGGCAATAAGATGTTACTTTTGCCTCATTTTCCCATATTTTCCTGGAGGGATAAAGAGAAAGAAAATGGAGTGCCAATTTCATCCTGTAACAATATGGCAATATTTCAAATATATATATTAAAAAACAATAATGCCAGAAGGAAAGTACTTTAACTTTCAGCAGGAAAATGAAATACTCTGTCATATTCAGAATGCAGAGTCTAATTTTCAACACTTGCAAAGAACAACATCAACATGTTTCCTGCTTGTTAAGCACAATCTCAAGAATTCAGTAACCAATCTTGGTTTTCTGATTGATCCATTATAAGTGGATATGTCTCCCGATTTTTGCATGTGTGATAGCATATGGATGCATCACAGACAACTGATGATTTTCCACAGGTTTCTTTAAGGAGGACAAAGAAACAAATAGAAGCACAACAGGTTCCCTCCTCAGTCTGTTTTCATAGGACCAGGAGGGCTTACTAGAGCTAGCCAGTAACTTGGAGCCGACTCTGGATAATGCTGCCTACTTCTCAAGGATGATCTTAATTAAAACACTAATTAAGTTCTCAATGAAAGTGATCAATTAATAACAGGCATGACATGACTGTTGCAAATGGCAGCATATAAAGGGAGATAATTGAGCAGGTATTGATATTCAAAAACTGAAACTTATTTGTAATGAATCCCTTAACACTGTAGATATCCCCTTCACAAAAAAATATAATTACAAAATTCTTATGACTCCAGCAACAGAGAACACAGACAGCCTGGAAACAGAACTGTGGAGGGGAAATGGTAATTCTGCTATGACTAATTATTGAAATCTTAGACTATGAGCTCATTAATTAGCAGAAATAAAAACCATAATAGCCAACACTTATATACTCATCAATTTATATGCTTTAACTCAGCTAATACTCCCAAAGCTCTATTATTTCCTGTTTTACAGGCAATGCGTTCTACACACTAACAGGTAGCCTCATTCAAGATCCCACAGCTAAAAAGGGCAGAGCTGGGCAGTCTATCTACAGAGCCTCTGCTCTTATCCTACAATATCACACTATGGACTTCTTTTAAATAAGCATTTTAATCACGTATTTTATTTTACTGTATCAAATTATACACTCAAACTCAGAACCAAGAAATGTCACTATTATAACACATTAGCATGGTTCGGCACCATTAAGTACATTTCCCAAACATTTCATACGCAGAGAAGCAACATTTTAAAATTCGATGAAGTTGGTGCAAAGACTGGTTTTCTAATGCACCTGTTTATGAGTTCAAAACCAAATTCCCTCACTGAGCTTCCTCGTGTAACAGCCTGGGACTGGTACAAATCTGGTGAGGGACCCACCAACAAGGAAAGCAACAAGAAAAAGCCCGGGGCCTCCCGCCGTGAAAACCGTTATCTACCTGACCCATTGGCTGACAGCACAAACATCAGTTCAAATGTGAATCCAAAATCAATTCTGCTTTCAGGGCTATTTAAAATCATCATTCTGGCTAACAGTATTGTGCCGTGATGAGGATAACTGCAATTTCTTTACTGAAACTTCACTTCTCTAACCTATTTGCCAAGAAGGTAAAATTTTCAACAAAAATGGTTTCTTTAATAATAATTCTACTGCCATGGGAACAACTCTTTCAAAATAACAAGACTCAGTATTCTCCAAGTCTTATTTGTCATTTGTTTCTTCAAAGTAAAAGCAAAATGCATCAATTCATATCTATTAGTGCCTAACATAGCACCTTATACATAGTGAAGTCTCAACAAATACTTGCAGATAGAAAATGAATTTTGTACACTTCAACTTTTAAACTGGACAGCAAGAATCAAGAGTCTGCCTGCCAATAAGATGTTGTGGATGGTATAAAATAAGTATAGTCCTTGCCCTCAAAAACAAACGTTACAGGAATAAGACTTTCATATATAAAATCAATCAAAGAATAATCAAGAAAAAATTGAATGGCTCTAACTCTAAACATGACAGATTTATAAAAGGGCAAAAACAATATGGATGAGAAGAGCGTGGCAAAGCATATGTTATAAAGAAAACTACTGCAATCATTTAATCATTTTACAATCGTAGGTGGGTTATATATATATATATATATACTCATATTCTCTCAGAAGAAAAAAAATGACTGTATTCACTGATGTTAGGAAATGAAATTTCTGAAGTTCTCTGTATAACCTTCTAAAACAGAAGTGCTTTTAAGGGACTTAATCTGATCATATTAGCTGTAATTTCTAAAACAATCAAAGGCTTTGTTTTCATCTTAATGGAATGCCACCATCTTGGCATACAGAGTCTAGATAACTTTCAAAAATGAATCTTGAGGTTGGATGGCAAGATTGGTTGAAATATTTTAATCTCTTCTTTCTCAACCACATGTTTAGAAATTCTAATATTAAAAGTATCTGCTCGTGCCATTTGTCTCTGTATGTTGTCAATGATCAGCAAGTCAAAGACTATAGCCACGTAATTAACACAGCGTTACAAAGTGAGCAATCTACACATCTGAAAATTTATACTACAATAATATTTAATCTGCCTAGCATATTTATAAAATTAACCAATCTGTTCATTTGTTGCAACATAAAATTGCCAAAATTTTCTGAACACGTTGGTCAAATACAAAAAAGATATAGATAAAAAATACTTTAGCCATCCAGGCCACTTCTAAATATAGCTCCCAGCTATGATAGCCTTGTTCAGTAGTTCTTAAAAATAACTGAAGACCCCAAACAAAAACAACTGCTTTTGTTTATATGGGTTATGTGTATCAACACTCATCATACTAGAAATCAAACTGGCAAGTATTCCAATATTTATATATTGGAATCATTAAAAATAATCAAGTTATATATTAAAATAAATATTCTTATTAAAAATCTATTTTCTAAAAACAAAATATTGAGAAGAAAAGCATTATTTTATATTTTTTAAAATATGTTATAATATCTGGCTGAACAGAAGAAAGTTGAATTATCTAATTGCTTCTGCATTCAATTTTGGAAATATGCTGTTTTAGTTGAAGTAAAGAAAATCTAGACTCACACAGGGAGTTGGAAAGGAGAGTAGTATTTTAATAGTCTTTTTATATATTTGTGGATATTTTTCTTTGATACTATACCACGATCTGAAAAATGATAAAATTTTTTAAAAGTTATTTTCAATGAGCAATCTGAAAACATGTCAGTGAATTTTTTTTACTGCTACATTAAAATCCATTGGTCTATCTCACACACTGAATGGATCTTTCTCCTATGTATAATTTTGTAAACATCATTAATTGGTAATTTGGAAAATACTGGTTCACTGTGTTACGTAGATCTTCCAAATGTTGACATATTTCGTTATACACTATAAAAATCACATTAGTTAATATCACCACCTTTATCAGAAAAGCCTTTAAATATTGAGAAGCTATCAAAGTCACAGTACTAGATACAAGTGCTCTAAAAATCTAATTTTCACTTGATCTATTGCCAATTTTATCATTGGCAACAAACGCTGTTAGCTCTTAGCCTTGAAGATACAGGCTCACTTCATTCATTTTTGAGAAATATAGTTTGTCACTCATTTTTTCAAATAAAAATGGTGATCCATGAAAGAGAAAAATAAATTAGTTCAGCACCACTAAATCACCCAAGCGTTTTTCCACAACTGCTGTATTTCAATATGTAATAGAAGTACCTTATGAATACTTCCTATTTGGGCACACAAATCATTAAAAAGAGGTATATTTAAGAATCAAGATTTAATCAAATTAATAATTTTTACTACTTCATCAAATTTTCACTGGAAACTGGCATTTGTTTGGACAATAAATTTATGACAGTGAAGATGACAACTACTAGTATAATTTGGTGCCACAAACTTGATTCACACTAAGGCACCAGTGTCTTCACCCATCATTGCTCTTCCAACTTTAATGCAAATACCAATACACGACCTGCAAATCTGTGTTTCTAAGGGGTTCCCAGACCACATCCTCAGGGATCTGCTGGTCTAGCTAATGTCAGTCCAACCCTCCCACCATCAACTAGAAAAGCTAGATAAATTACAAAAATCAACTATTTAAAGGCATTGGAGAATTACCAGGGTAGCCAAGGCCTTGAGGAACCAAGATTTCAGCCACAACTGTTAATATTTGTTGAATAAGCATCTCTAGTCATTCAGGGATGACCTAAAACTGCTTAAAGTTGCAAATTAGGCAATAACTTTAAAAAAAAAAAAAAGAGGCAACCAATGCCATCATTTGTATGCACTTGCTCACTAATGGCAATTAGTCCCATTAATGGACTAAAAATGACTGGAAGTTGCTACAGTTAGGATATGGTTTGTTTGGCCTCAGCAAGTCCCATGTTAAAATTTGATCCCCAATGTTGGAAGTAAGGCCTGGAGGGAGGTATTTGGTTTGAGAGTGGATCCCTCAGGAACGGCTTGGTGCCATTCTCTCTTAAATGGAGTGAGTGAGTTTTTGCTGAGTTCTCATTCTTAGTTCCTGAGAGAACTGGTTGTTGAAAACAGCCTGGCATCTCTTTCC